TGCACAGGAAGGACAGAGGTAGATGGGCTCAGGAAGCCTTCTGAGCACCGGGAGGCAACACCCTCCGGGAGTGCGCCTTCACCCAGGGGTGCTCCAGGACCTGAGCCAGGGGAAGCCGCTCTGAGGGCTGGTATCTCAGAAGCTTGGAGACCAAGTCCTGGGCCCCCTCGGGCATTGAGGGGGGAAACGTCACATCCACCTGATGAGGCCAAGGAGAAACAAGGGAAGTCTGGTTCATTTCTTTGCTCCATGTTCTCTGTGCCTCTTCGAGGCACTCCTCAGGACAGAGGCACTCCTCAGGACCATAGCAGGTGACCTCATGTGTGTGCCCCAGTCCCCCCAGGCTCAGCAGCTGCCCCCACCCAGCTCCCCGTATATGCCCACCGTGTGGCCATCCCACCTTGAGGATGCGCCTCTGGGTCTCGCTCTGAGAGGGGCTCTCAAAGGGTGGCCGTCCCACCAGCAGCTCGTAGCAGAGCACCCCGACGCACCACAGGTCCACCTTCTCATCGTAGGTCCTGCCTTCCACTATTTCTGGGGGCAAGTAGTCCAGAGTCCCACACATAGTCTGTCTCCTGGTGGAGGGAGAGGGGAGCACTGTGCAGAGGCCCAGATCAGAGAAATCCTGGAAGTCCCTACCCAAGCACGGAGTTTGAAGACACCAACGTTTATCATGGACCAAGGTACAGAGAAACCAAGTACCGGGACCATAACAATGTGTTTTGATATTCATGCAATCATTAAGCTCATGATCCAGAACACTTTCACAAAAATATTCTCAGCATCAAGAAACAGAGTGATTCTTTGTACATTAAGGACCCAGTGAATGGATTCTAATCTATTCATACAGTGAATGGATTCTAATCTATTCATTCATAATCTATTCATTCATCTATTCATACAATACAATATGGGGCAATGGTTCATAAGTTATTAGGTAATTACATGAAATCTTATTGCTAAAGTCATACATTAACAAAGATCAGAAAATAAAAGTTCCAGTTGGGCTACAATAAGTCTGTTTTCTTTTTAGTTGCAGTACTGGGGATTGAACCCAGAGCCCCATGTTTGCTAGACAAGCATTCTGCCACTCAGCCACATCCCCAGCCCTGAAAATATCTGACAATTTTCTACTTAAAAATGGCAGTGTTGGGCTGGGGATGTGGCTCAAGCGGTAGCACGTTCGCCTGGCATGCATGCTGCCCGGGTTCGATCCTCAGCACCACATACAAACAAAGATGTTGTGTCCGCCGAAAACTAAAATAAATAAATAAATATCAAAAAATTCTCTCTCTCTTAAAAAAAAAAAAAAGGCAGTGTTCAGGTACAAACCCAGGTTTGTATCTGGGTCTTACATTTGCAATGAATTCAACTGGACCACTCTTCACTGGCACCCGGGGCCTACCCGACCGCGATCTGACCTACCTGAGGGAGGGGGCGTGCACAGACCAGCCAAAGTCTGCAATCTTCACCTCACCCATCAGCCCCAGCAGCAGATTCTCTGGCTTAATGTCCCTGTGAATCACCTTATTGTTGTGGCAGTATGTCAGGGCGTCTGCCAACTCCTCCATTATCTGTGAGCAAAGTGAAGGCATCTGAAAGGCAAGCCTTCCACACTTCCCATCAGACAGAATGCTCCTCGTGAACCTTGGGAGTGCAGAGGAATCTTGCTCTCTGCAACTCACCCCAATACCACCTTTTAGTGGCACCAGAGGTCCAGTTTGGGAAGGGGAAAGGATGGATGTTGAACTGGACAGGTCCTATTGCCCTCCCACAGCAAGTAGCCAGACAGAACCTCCACTGAGCCAATCACCATCTCCCAAAACACTTGAGCCCCAACAGAGGGAATAGGAGAACCAGGAGGCTACCTGGAGTCAGTCATTCATCCTGATAGCAACCCGCCCAGCCACCACTGTTGGCATGGCCATGGCTGTGGGTCCTGTCCTGGTGCCCTCTAGAAATCTCCAGTTACTGCTGGGCACAGTGGTGCATGCCTGTAATCCCAGAGGCTCTGGGGGCTGAGGCAGGTAGAGAATGAGTTCAAAGCCAGCCTCAGCAATGGTGAGGCACTAAGCAACTCAGTGAGACCCTGTGTCTAAATGAAATACAAAACAGCGCTGGGGATGTGGCTCAGTGGTTGAGTGCCCCTGAGTTCAATTCTCAGAATCCATTCCCCCTCTCCCAATACAAAAACAAAAACAAAAAAAAACTTCTAGTTATGAGTTCCATACATTTATTTAGTAAATCCCTCATAGCCTTTCAATAAGTGTTTTTGGCTCCTGTATATTGTACAAGAGAGTAGAGTCAGACTCAAGAAATAATATTCTGGATACACATAGGGTAATTAAAGTATCAAAATGTGAGGATTATTCACTATCTAAAATTCTCAGAATAAAATTCAGAAATCAACTTATAAGGCAATCTGACCAGCCACAGAGCCCCCACGCCCCACCACAGGCCGGCAGTGAGCCCAAGGCCCCCAGAGCCCAGGCCCCCTCACCGTGGCTGTGCGCTGCTCATCCAAGGGGCCGCTTCTCTGCAGCAAGTTGTAGAGCTCACCCCTGGGAGCAAACTCCAGAATCAGGTATATGCGTCCAGGGTCAAGGAAATAGTTGTAGAGGCGTAGGATGTTCGGGTGTCTGCAGGAGGAACAGAGGGTGGGTCAAACTTCTCCCTGAGCCCAAAACTGCTGCTATCACCAGTGACTGGTCACACAAGGGCAAAAAGTGCTGGGGTCAGGGACCGTAGTCAGGATTGGGATGTCCACCCAGGGAGGAAACTTTATATGGTTGAACTGGAATGAGCAGCACAGAAAATCAAGGCCAAGGGCTTACTTGGGGGCAGTGGGAAAGGCCGAGTTGGGATGTGCAGCAGGAAGGGGAAACAGGTGTAGAGAGCCAGCGTGAGAGGCGCAGGCAGAGCCTGTCCTTACCGTAGGTGCGCCTGGATCTCGATTTCCCTGCGCAGCTGGTGCTGCAGTCCCGCCTTCTCGATCTGGGACTTGAAGAGGACCTTCAGGGCCACAATGAAATGGTTCTCCTTCAGTCGAGCCAGGTAGACGTTCCCAAATCTGCCCTTGCCCAGAGGACGCCCGATTTCAAAGTCATCGATTGTGAAGCGCTTCCTAAGTGGACAGGAAGAAAGGATCCCCAGTTCTGCAGGTGGAGGGGAGTAAGGGGCCCGAGGTCCTCTTCCCCGTCTTGAGGGCCCAGCCAGGGGTGTTTGGTTGGAAAACAGCAGCGCACGTCCAGGCGCCGACCCTCCACTCCACTCGCCCAGGCCGAGCTTGGCGCCCTCGGAAGCCCCTCCATTCCCCTTCCAGATGCCAAGGCTAAGCACTCACACGGCGGGGGTTCCAGGTTGCGTCTGGCCCACTGCAGCTCCTGGGAGGGGAGATGGGGAGGGAGGGAGGGCACGGGGACAGGGAAAGAGAGAGGTGTCAAACTCTTTCTTCAGCGCACCCAGCCCTCCAGGGGCTGGCCCTTGGGCCCCTGCCCACAGGTTCCGCTGCTCCTCCCTCACCTGCGGGTCCACGCGGTACCCGAGAGGACCGCCGCCTCCGGGTGGAGGATGATACAGGTGAGGGCGAGCCAGGGCCCTGCTGAGCCCTTTGGAGCTGGCGTCCGGGGTCCATATGGTCGGGAAAAGCCGCCAGGAGGTTACCCGAAAGTGGACAGGAGGAATTGTGCCAGGAAGTCCTGACCTGCTCCTCATCACGCCTTTTATAGCCGGTGCCCCAGCCTCCAGTCGAAGTCCCTGACTCCAGCGCCCAAGGGAAGCGCGGAGGTGGGCGTGTCTGTGAGAGCACCGGCCAATGAGGCTGAACGGGGCGCGGGGCAGGGGCGGGGCAGGCTGCGAGCGCACGTGCGCGCTGGGGTCAGGTCGCCAGGTCCTGCTCCCTGCTCCTGGTGTCTTTGTGGACCCTATAATCAGTTTGCATCTTTGGTCTCAAATATAGGAAAATCAGAGCACATATTATTTGTTTGGAAAGTACGGAATCTTCCAAAAACGTTCGAAATTGAATATTTTTAGATGGGAAACGGGATAGTCTTTTAAGTATAATTGGAAAAAACAACAACAACAACTCCCTAACCAATAGATGACAGAGCCTGGGAGCTAGAGTGTGTTGGGGAAAGATCATTTTGTAAAAAAAACAGCTGGGCGCGGGGGAGGGGGGGCATCCCTGTACTCCCAGAGGCTCAGGAGGCTGAAGAAGGAGGATTGCCTCCAGTTTAGCAAGGCCCTAAGCAACTCAGTGAGACCTTGTCTCTAAATAAAACACAAAATAAGGCTGGGTATGTGGCTCAGTGGTAGAGGGCCTGTGGGTTCAATCTCCAAAAAACAAACAAGCAAACCAAAACAACCTCAAAACTCCTGGTATCTCCCTACTAAGAAAACCTACCCACTAAGGAGGTAGTAGAGAATAAAAACAGGTTCTTTTTGTTTGGTTCCAGTGACTGGGGTGGGGGTGAGCAGAGGGAGGCATGTTTGCGTTAGGTATTGCAGGTTGAACCTGAAACAGGGGTTCACTGGATGCTTTGACTATATCCCTTGTGGCTTTGAAACTTCCATTGTTTTTCCTTTTTCCCAATCTTCTCTCTGACCTCCTTCCTCATCATGTTTTCCCTACCCTTTATCTGATCTTCTGATCTTTTCCCTAACTTTCTCATCCTGATAGTCTTTTTCCTGATCACTCCTTCCTAATCTCATTTACTATGAAACCCCCACCCCTGTTCCCCATGATGAGCAAATCACAGTCTTTGGGACAGGAGTCCCCTGTGTTTATCCTTTGCTAATAAAGCAATAAACCTTCTTTTTCCTTTTTCTCACAACCATTTCCTCTTTATTGGATTGGCATCAGGTACAAGGACTGAGCTTTGGGCTACAAACCCAGGGCCTCACACTGCTGGGCAAGCAGTCTCACCACTCAGTTACATGCCTGGTCCTTTCTATTTCTGAGACTTGGACTTGCTAAATTGCTGAGGCTAGCCTTGATTTTGTGATCCTCCTGCCTGGGCTTCCAGAATAGCTGGGATTACAGGGGTGTGCCACCACATCCAATTTAAGAAAAGTTGTCATATTAAATAAACACTAAATCGAATGTAATTCACATCACGGCTCTACAGTAAAACACTGCAAAGTCAGTAAAATCTCACCCCTTCATATGACGAAGCAGAAACAGACCATTATATGCTGTTCTCAAAATAAATAATGGACTTCAAGTGAGGGGACAGGTCAGGAGTTGTCACACAATTCATCCTAACTTATCCGGTGACTCTGACTTAATTAAATTGGCTTCCATGAGGGAAAAAGAAACTTCTTTCTTTATGACAGTAGGTTTGCAACTTGGAACAAGTTGCCGAGGGAAATCAGGCTCCCTCCCTCCCACAGAAACTGGAGATGCGGTGCCGCCTCCCTCCATGATTCTGTGTCACAGGATGTCTTTCATCCTGGGTTGAAAAACTGGTAAGGGGCTTCTAAAAATATTCACATCCAGCCAGGCATAGTGATGCACGCATCTAATACCAGAAGCTTGGGAGACTGAGTCAGGAGGATTGTGAATTCAAAGCCAGCCTCGGCAACTGAGAGGGACTAAGCAACTCAGTGAGACCCTGTCTCTAAACAAAATACAAAAATAGGGATGGGGATGTGGCTCAGTAGTCAAGTGTCCTTGGATTCAATCCTCAGTACCAGGAAAAAAAGATTCACATCCATCTCACAGCTACTCTGGTGGCTGAGTCAGGAGGATTGCAAGTTGGAGCCTAGCCTCAGCCATTGAACAAGACTCTTGGCAACTTTGGGAGACTTTGTCTCCTAATAAAACATAAAAAAGGGCTGGGGATGTAGCTCCATGGAAAGCATTCTTACTTCTGGAAAAACAAAAAAGTACCTTCACACAATCTCATAGGGGCAGAGACAGAAAGTGGCAGGGACTCTAAAGCAGAGGGTCAGATGTTTGTGTATGTGTGGCACAGAGGATGGAACTCAGGGCCTCCAGTGGATCTGTGCTGCTGAACTATACCCCAGCCCTCACTTATTCATTTAGAGATGGGAACTCACTATATTGCCAACACCTGTGCTCAAAAGACCCCCTGCCTCAGCCTCAACCAGTGTCCCCTGTAAGTTACTGGATGAGAACAAGGGATTCCCTGTAAGTCACTGTATGGGAACCAGGGGTCCCTGTCAGTCACTGGATGAGAAGCAGTGGTCCCTTGGCAGTCACTGGATGAGAAGCAGGTATCCCTGTCAGTTACTAGATGAGAACCAGTGTCCCCTGTCAGTTACTGGATGAGAACCAGGGGTCCCCAGTCAGTCACTGGATATGAACCAGAGACCCCTGTCTGTCACTGGATATGAACCAGGATCCCCTGTCAGTCACTAGATGAGAGCCAGGGGGCCCTGTCAGTCACTGGATATGAACAAGGGTCCCATGACAGTCATTGGATGAGAACCAGGGGTCCACTGTCAGTCACTGGATGAGAACCAGGGTCCCCTGTCAGACACTGGATGATAACCAGGGATTCCCTGTCAATCACTGGTTATGAACCTGGGTCCCCTGTAACTCACTGGATATGAAAAAGGGTCCCCTGGTCGTCACTGGATGAGAACCAGGGGTCCCTGTCAGTCACTGGATGAGAACCAGGGGTCCCTGTCAGTCACTGGATGAGAACCAGGGGTCCCTGTCAGTCACTGGAAGAGAACCAGGGGTCCCTGTCAGTCACTGGATGAGAACCAGGGGTCCCTGTCAGTCATTGGATGAGACCCAGGGGTCCCTGTCAGTCACTAAATGAGGAAAAAGGGGTCCCCTATCAGTCATTGGATGAGAACCAGGGGTCCCTGTCAGTCACTGGATGAGAACCAGGCGTCCCCTGTCAGTTACTGGATGAGAACATGAGTTCCCCTGTCAGTCACTGGATATGAAATAGGGTCCCCTGTCAGTCATTGTATGAGAACTAGGGGTCCCCTGTCAGTCACTGGATGAGAACAAGGAGTGCCCTGTCAGTGATTGGATGAGAACCAGTGTACCCTGTCAGTCACTGAATGAAAAGAAGGGGTTCTCTGTCAGTCACTAGATATGAAACAGGGTCCCATGTCAGTCATTGGATGAGAACGACGTGTCCCCTCTCAATCACTGGATGACAACCATGGATCACTGTCAGTCACTTGATGAGAACCAGGACTCTGCTGTCAGTCATTGGATGAGAACCAGGTGTCCACTCTCAGTCACGGGATGAGACCCAGGGGTCCTCTGTCAGTCATTGGATGAGAACAAGGGGTCCCCTGTCAGTAATTGATGAGAACCAGGGGTCCTCTGTCAGTCACTGGATGAGAAGCAGGGGTCATCTGTAAGTCATTGGATGAGAACCAGGGGTCCATTGTCAGTCACTGGATGAGAACCAGGGGTCCCCTGTCAGTCACTGCTGAAAACCAGGGGTCCCCTGTCAGTCACTTGTGATAACCAGGGGTCCCCTGTGATGAGAACACAGGGTCCCTCTCAGTCACTGGATAAGAACCAGGGTCCCCTGTCATTCACTGGTTTAGAACCAGGTGTCCCTGTCAGTCACAGGATGAGAACCAGGGTTCCCCTGTCAATCACTGGATGAGATACAGGGGTCTCCTCTCAGTCCTCGGATAAGAACCAGGTTTCATGTCAGTCACTGGATGAGAACCAGGGGTCCCCTCTCAGTCAATTGATGAGAACAAGGGGTCCCCTCTCAGTCATTAGATGATAACCAGGGGTCCACTCTCAGTGACTGGATGAGAACTTGGGGTCCCCTGTGAGTCACTGGATGAAAACCTGGGGTCCCTCTTAGTCACTGGATCAGAACCAGGGGTCCCTGTAAGTCACTGGATGAGAACCAGGGGTATAATCTCAGTCACTGGATTACAATCAGGTTCCCCAGTCAGTCACTGTTATGAACCAGGGTCCCCTGTCAATCACTAGATTAGAACAAGGGGTCCCCTGTCAGTCACTGGATGGGAACCAGGGGTCCCTGTAAGTCACTGGATAAGAACCTGTGTCCCCTGTCAATTACTGGATGAGAACCAGGTGTCCTCTGTCAGTCACTGGTATAAACCAGGGCCCCCAGTGAATCACTGAATATGAACCAGGATCACTTGTCAGTCATTGGATGAGAACCAGAGTTCATCTATAAGTCACTGGATATGAATAAGGGTCCCATATCAGTCATTGGATGAGAACCAGGGGTCCCCTGTCAGTCACTGGATGAGAAAGAGGGGGCCACTGTCAGTCATTGGATAAAAACCAGGGTCCCCTCTCAGTCAACGGATGAGAACCAGGGCTTCCCTCTCAGTTACTGGATGTAAACCAGGGTCCCCTGTCAGTCATTGGATGAGAACCAGGGGTCCCCTGTCAGTCACTGGATAAGAACCAGGGGTCCCCTGTCAGTCACTGGATGGGAAACAGGGGTCCCTGTAAGACACTGGATGAGTACCAGGGGTCTCCTGTTCTTCACTGGATGAGAACCAAGGTCCCCAGTCAGTTACTGGATGAGAACCAGGGTCCCCTGTAAGTCACTGGATGAGTACCAG